AAAGTTTTTTTGTAGAGGTTTTAGTTCAGAGTTGGCTGACAGCAAACTACGAGAGCAGGGACCCTCTTTCTGTCCCTCATATCTTATCCAGGCGACATGCCCACCCAGGGTGGGGCACCTTAATCCTACCCAGAAGTCAGTGGGCTGATTTAGTAATCACACACCCTTGATCCCAGCATCTCATACTCTAGATCCAGCCACCTCCAAAAAGCACCACCTATGACCTCATGAGGCTTGTTTGCATTTTTTACTTCCAATCTTTTTTTTTTTTTTGTCTCTTCTTTCCTTTCTCCCTTTCCCTCCCTTGTTCCCCTTCTCATTTCAATGTTTTATTCATTTTGTTTTTTGGTACCGGGGATCGAACTTGAACTTGGGCCCTTGCCATTTCGAGGCAGGTGGTGAAACCACTGAGCCAACTCCCCGGCCCTCAATTTTTCATTCAAATTTCCAAATATCTGTTATACATTTTTGCCAGGCATGGTGGGACACATGTGTAATTCCAGCACTCAGGAGGCTGAGGCAGGATAGCTGCAAGTTTGATGCCAGTCTGGGCTGCATGGTGCATTCCAAGCCAGAATGAAATGCATAGCAAGTCCCTGTCTCAAAAAAATCAAAACTGGGCTGGGGATTTAGCTCAGTGGTACTGCCACCTGCTTCACAAGTACATGGTCCAGAGTTTGATCCCCAGTACAAAAAAATCAAAACAAAAATCAGCAACCAATATCTAATGTGTATTTCAGTCCTTATTTCCACTTTTGGTTTCTCACACCAGCAAAGCAATGTGGTATTTAAACACAGGTGTCAATTATATCACTTAAGAGTATGGTCTCAGGGGCTGGGGATTTAGCTCAGTGGCACTGCATCTGCCTGGAGAGCACAAGGTCCTGAATTCAATCCCCAGTACCAAAAAAACAGACTGTGGGCTCAAGGTGCATCCATGGTGTATCTGAGCTAAATCCCCCGCCCCAGTTTGGGCAGTTTTATGAGATTGTCTTAAAAAAATTTTTGCAGCTGGGTGTAGTGGCACATGCCTGTGATTTCAGCACTTAGGAGGCCGAGGCAGGTAGATTTCCATGAGTTCCAGGCCAGCCTGAACTACATAGGGAAATTCTGTCTCAAAAATTAAAAAAAAAAAAATCTTGGCAATCATTCCTTCTCAGTATACATATAACTTCATACTTTACAACAGTCCATGATCTTATAGCTTATTGAATCACTTTTCTATGATAGTTAGATCATGTTTGATTTTTTTTACTACAAACAATGCTGCAACACACTTATTCTGTGAATGCATTTATATACAAGTACTGTATGTGTAATGGTGATATTCTATCAGTGGTGGGTAGATAGTAAAGATAAATAAATATTCCTGAGATGGAATTGTTAGGTCAACAGGTATGTGTATTTTATTTCATTTTATTTATTTATGTGTGTGTGTGTGTGTGTGTGTGTGTGTGTGTGTGTGTGTGGTGCTGGGGATAGAACCCAAAGTCTCCCATATGCTAGAGAAGTGCTCCACCTGTAAGCTGCATCCCTAGCAGGGAGGACAAGATCTCACTATATAGCCCAGGCTTACCTTGAGTTTACTATGTGGTGCAATCCTCCTGCCTCAGCCTCCCAAATGCTGGGATTATAGGTGTACATCACCACACCCAGCCTGGAATGTTTTGTTTTTGTTTTTTTATTTGGACCCCGGATCAAACTGAGGTCCTTGTACTTGCAAGGCAGGCAGCAGAACCACTGAGCTAAATCCCTAGCCCCCCTGGCATGTGTATTTAAAAAAGGATACAGTAAGTCACTGATTTATGAGTATTCCAGTGGCAAACTTTCACACATGTACTGTAGAAATTCACAGGTATACTGTGTAAGACTCACTTTCTCGGAATAGTAATGAATCTGATTTCTGAATCTTCTCCCGGAACAGAACTCTTTGTAAATCGGGGACTTACTGTATAAATAATTTGTTTTGAAAACTGTTGTGCAGATTAAAAGTCAAAATATATTCAATATCCCATCCCTTCTACATCTAAGAACTATAGTTCTTTTCTTTTTTGAAACAAGGTCTCACTATGTTGTTGGCCCTGAACTCCCGGGATGAAGGGATCCTCCTGCCTCTGTCTCCAAATAGTTGACACTGGCACATGCCTGGCTCTGGTAATTTTCTTTAACAAATACCTCAAAATGCCTTTGGGATTCTCAAGAAAAGATCTCATTCTTCAGGGTTTTTGCCCTCAGTTTCCTTTTTTTTCAGACAGGGTTTCACTTTGTAGTTCAGGCTGGCCTTGAACTTGAAGTAATTCTTCTGCCTCAGATTCTTGAGTGCTGTCCTTGTCCATTCTAGAAACCTTTCAAAACCTACTCAATTCTTTTAAGTACCATCATCTTTAAACATCTTTTCTGGAGTAGTCGTTTTGCCTATATATTGTTCCCTTAACTACCTTTTCTCTTTTTTATTTTTCTCCTAGTACTGGGGATCCAAATCAGGGCCTTATACTTGAGAGGCATATGCAGTGTTAGAGCTAAATACCCAGCCCCCTTAACTGCTTTTTAAACTCCTTCCTTATTTTGAACTTGTGGCACCCAGAACATGCATATGTGTGTGTTACTGGGGATTGAACCCAGGGCCTTTGCACTGAGCTACATCCCCAGTCCCCTTAATATGTGTGTGCGTATATTTGAAGTTTATTAGTACACAATGCAGTACACCTTTACAGTCCTGGTGTGGCGTTGGTACCTCTACATAATTTTTCTTTACCTTTCTCCTCTCTCCCTCTCTCCACCCCTATCCCTTGATCCCCTTCCTTTTTGTTGTAGTTTGTGAAATTTACATTCCAAAACAAAACATTTACATTCCTTGTATGGAGTTCATACACGTACAAAACACATTCCAATTCCTTGTTATGTGTGTGTGTGTGTGTGTGTGTGTGTGTTTTAAGTGGGGATCGAACTCTGGTCTTTCTGAGGCAAGCAGAACCACTGAGCTAAATCTCTGGCCCGTTTGTTTGACAGGGCCTCACTGTGTAGTTTAGGAGGGCCTTAAACTTCATCGTGTAGCCCAGGCTGGCCTGGCATCCTACCTCAGCCTCCCAAGTGCTGGGATTATGGGCGGGCCTCACCATACCTGGCCCTAGCTCCCTTTAAAAACTGTGACAGAATTTCACTAAATTATCAAGACTATGCTCAAACTTGGGATCCTTCTCTCTCAAACTCTCAGAGTATTGCAATTATAAGCTTGTGCCATCACCTTCAACCATATTTACTTAGGTTCAAGGCTGGGTCTTAGTATAGTGTCTAGGTTGGCCTCCAACTACTGCGCTCAAGGGATCCTCCTGCCTCAGCTTTCTGGAAAGCTGGGACTAAGATTAGCTGGGACTACAAGCCTGATCCACCATGCTGTGCTTCAGAATTTTGTTCTGCTTTGATTATCCAGTTCTCTAGGTAAATAAGGAAAACAAAATTCTCAAATTTAGAGGCTGAGAGTTGTTCACATCAAACAATGATCCATCTCTTTCTCTTCCAGGTGCAGGAGGAAGCAAGATGGCCTTATTACCAGTGATACACCAGCCGATTCTTGCCCTCACCCGCCCTGGCATTAGAGCTTTTGGGTCCTCAAATGGAGAACAGAATGTGCTCACTTCGGCAGCACATATGTAAATAGAGGGCAGAAAGCAGAACCTCCGAAGTTAGAAAAATCCTAGGCTTCCTCCACTTTCTGAGGTTCTGTGTCTTGATAGCAGAAAACGTGCAGGTTACAAAGATGGAGGCGGCTCTTAAATCTTCCCACTGCACCACCCCTTATCTCAGTCCTGTGTCTAATCTTCAGGAGATATCACAAATGCGGAGTTTAGCCCCAGATCGTCTCTGCCGGACCGTGCTGCATCGTAGGCTCGAGGTGGCAGGCTCCTGGGCCTGGCACAATGACTGTGCAGGAACCATGGCGCTGGACCCGCGCTCGCGGCATCGGTCGACCGATCTCCCATCCCTTCAGTCCTCGGCCATGCACCCTTGGAGCGAAGGCACCAAATACGCTCGCGGGGCTCAGGAGGTACCTGAGGGCCAGGAACCGTCAGACTGAAAAGTTGCGCCGCGCGCGGCCAGACGAGCGGCATTAGGGCGCGGGAACGGAGCCGAGCTCGCCCCGCCCCAAGGCGCGCGCGCCCCGGAATCCCCGTCGTGGCCCGCCCTTTTGTCTTTTGCCAAACCATCAGTGACTTCCTGCCTCACTCTCAACCAATCCTTACCCTCCACGAAGAATAGCCCTAGGGGGCGTAGGCGAAGGTGTGTAGAGCGACGACCGCGCCGACCAACCGACTCTCGAAACTTGCGTGGAGGGGCGGGACCTGGCGTCACCCCGAACTAGTCAGGAGCGAGGGGCGGGCGCGGGGCTGGGCTTCGTGCGGTGAGGCTAGCTCGCTCGGAGGCGGTGTTAACCGAGGCCTCTTGGCTCTGCGGCACGTGACGGTCGGGCCACCTCGGCCGCTGTCTCCACTGCAGCGCGGGGCGCG